GTGCGATGCCCCCCCCAAATAAAGGGGGTGCCCCAGCTCGACTTTCCCCTTTTTTTCCTCCACCTGCTTTCCTCTCCCCCCTACCTCCCTTCCCCCCTTTCTTCGCTTCCGGGTCCCTTCAGAGCATGTCAGCCCCCCCCCATTTGCAGACCCGCCTTGAATGGGGTGGGGGACCAGGCTGGGCACGCCGGGGAGGGGGGCTCTGGGTGTCAAGAGCCACGTCTGACCCCCCCACCCCCACCCCGTGTTTTCTTTCCACTCTTCCAGGGAACGATGGAGGAAGAGAACAGCCTGGGTGAGCGAGGAGCTGGTGTTGTGAGGGAGCTTTTGGGGGGAGCAACATGACGGTGCGAGCTGATGCCAGTTCAGAGGAAGAGCTGCGGACGAGCTGATGCCAGTTCAGAGGAAGAGCTGCGGCTGGATGGGTCTCTCCCGATAGCGGAACAGCCAGATTCTCGCTGGCCGGCCTAGAGGAGAGGGGTGCCTTGGCTCCTCTGGGGAGACCCCCTCCCCATTCCTGAGCACGGCTGCCTCCCTCCCTCCCTGTTGCCCAGGGATGGGCCTCCTCCCACAGACAGGGTCTGGTGACGGGGAAAACCCCAGGATCGCCGCAGAAAGGAAGCCGGCAGTCTCACCAATGGGCTGGGAGGAACAGGCAGGCCGGAGGAGGAAGGGGTGGGGTGGGGGGGATGGCCCTCGAGACCGGTTTAAGCAAACCCCTTGGATCCACCCCTGGCAGTCGGGAATTCCACACGGATCCTCCTCCCGGCAGGTTTAGTCTCGCTCTGTCGGAAACAAACCAAGTTGGAAGCCGGCTTGCAAGCTTGGGGGTGGGGGGTGGGGGAGGCAGGAGGGTCAGTCCTGCTTGGCCCAGCCTGCCTCTACATCCTGCCCCCCTCCCAGCCCAGTGGGTCAGGCATCCTCCCGCAGCTCTCTGCCAGCAACCCTGAATCTCTTCCGGGTCACTCCGCTTGCTCGGACCCAGCTTTGCTGGTGGGGCCTGGATATAGTGGCCATACTTGGACCTCAAATGTGGGGCTGGGGGCTGCTGGGACAGGCTGTCCTCGGAAACCAGAGGGTAACTTCCTGTCTTGGAGCGTCATTGTTTTATCCGCGGAGTTGCTAAAGTAGGGTTCGTTCGTGGTGGGAATCTGCACGGCAGAGTATCCTGTTTTAGCAACTCTGGGAGATTCACACACACGCACACACACACACACACACACAAAAACACATCAGGGCAGGGGTGACTCTTTTCCAAAACTGTCCCCGTTTCCGGCCTGCTCAGTGACACCCCGACATGTTGGATCACGGCCCCACGTTTCTTCCCCGGGCACGTGTGAAATGTCTCGGTTCCTTTGTGTTAACACTGTCCTTCCAAACTCGCAGGGGACGCCGCCGAACTCCGACTGATCCTGGTGGGCAAAACCGGAGGCGGGAAGAGCGCCACGGGCAACACCATCCTCGGCCGGCCGGTGTTCAAGTCCATCCTGACGGCGCGGGCCACCACCCTGAGCTGCCAAAGGGGTCAAGGAAGATGGCAGGGCAGGCAGATCTCCGTGGTCGACACCCCAGCCATTTGTGATTCGGAAAACGACAGCGAGAGGGTGCAAAACGAGATCAGGGCTTGCGTCGAACTGTCCCGGCCTGGTCCCCACAGCCTGATCTTTGTGACCCAGGTGGGGCGCTTCACCGCTGAAGATGCGGCTGCCGCAAAGCGGGTTCGGGATATCTTTGGGGCCGAGTCCGCCGGGCACACCGTTGTCATCTTCACCTGCAAGGAGGATTTGGGCGGAGGCTCCCTGCAGGAGTACGTCCAAAAGTCCGACAACCGGAACCTGCGGGCCCTGATCCGGCGGTGCGGGAACCGCTTCTGCGGCTTCAACAACAAGGCCGCGGGAGCCGAGCGGGAGAGGCAGGTCTCGGAGCTGATGGAGATGGTGCGTGTGGTTTCGGAGAACGGGAGGAAACACTACATCATCCAGCTGCGTCTGGTGCCCAACGTGGGGGATCAGCATGCTCGGACACCCTTACAGGACCGAAAGGAGTGTAAACGGGCGTCGGAGGGGTGTTCCAAAAACACTCGAGTATGGATTGGGTTGTTTTGCGGGGTGGTGGTGATTGTGATTGTGATCGTTCTGGTGGTCCAGTTGTCGTGAGTTCTTTGCAAAGTGTTGGGAGGGAGCGGGAGATACGTTGTGGGTGAGTGGCTTGTGTGGATGTGCCCTGATTGCAGTGAACTTGTCACACCTGCGGAGGGCGGGAGGGGACCGGTGGGACGCCAGGAGAGCCACGGTTCCTTGCGCAGCCCAGCGTCTCCCCAGTTCCTTCCCTGTCTCCAGGCCTTGGGACCCCTGGGACCCCTTGACTGATCAGATTGGGGAGCTGGAGAATAGACCCCAAGAAGGGACCTGGATTCTGCATTTGGGGGGGGGAAGAGACCAGGGGGTGGCACAGCCTTTTGCGCAGCGCCACAGATAACGGCACCGATCCCAGCTGCCCCAACATACTAAAATTGTGGTGCATAATCTCAACATTGGCCCGAGATTGAGCGGTTTGTAGTCCTCAGATTCCGTTTGAATGATGGATGATCTGCTGGTGTCAATTCTCAGCGACCCCACAGGGAGGTTTTCTCCAGGGTATGTGTGTGTGTGTGTGTGTATGTGTGTCCCTATTCCTTCCAGAAGCGCACTCCATCGTCTCCAATTTTGGCCCATCCACCGTTCTCCAGACAAAACCTCTTTTTTTCTCTACGACGGTCCCGCCGCTGAAGGAAAATAACTCCCACACACCCCGGGATCTTCTGTGGCTGAGGGGGACTAGAATGGGATCTCCACAATTCTTGGAGAGGGGGAGGGGGGGCAAGAAAAGAGATGATCCCACTTCCACAGTGCAAAATATAAAATAAAATGGGATGAAAATGGATTTACAAGAAAATGAACAACGAATACGTGAATAAACTTTTAACACTTTTGACAATCATTTACTAAACGTGTGTATTATACAAGATATATATATATGTAATGTAACATTTGCAGAATGACATACTGTATACATGTTTAATGCTAATTTCCTGGTAAGATCTACCCCGGGGGTGTCAAAGTCGCCGCGTCACGTGATGTGCCGCGACATACCGTGACTTTTTTCGCACTGCCTCAGCTGGGGTGAGCGCGGCCTCCACGGGATGCAACCGGCTCACGGGCCGGCGGTTTTGACACCCCTGATCTACCCTAACACTATGTTGTTCTCCTTGGCACTTTGATTAATAAAGGCACTTCGTATGCTGATTGGTAAATGTTGATTGCAATCTTTTGATTTCGGGACCGCACCCCAAAATTCAGGACGGGGCAGGCAGCATAAAAGGGACTTTAATAATAATAATAATGATAAAGTAGGAAGGGACCTTGGAGGTCATCTAGTCCAATCCCCTGCTCAGGCAGGAAACCCTACACCATTTCGGACAAATGGCCGTCCAGTCTCTTCTTAAAAACTTCCAGTGTTGGCGCATTCACTGCTTCCGGAGGCAGGTTGTTCCACTGGTTAATTGTTCTCACTGTCAGGAAGTTTCTCCTTAGTTCTAGGTTGCTTCTCTCCTTGGTTAGTTTCCATCCGTTGCTTCTTGTCCTGCCTCCAGGCGCTTTGGAAAATAGCTTGACTCCCTCTTCTTTGGGGCAGCCCCTGAGATACTGGGACACTGCTATCATGTCCCCCCTCGTCCTTCTCTTCGTTAAACTAGACATACCCAATTCCAGCAACCATTCCTTATATGTTTTAGCCTCTGGGATCGGGGCCACGGGTGATCTGGCCTGCCGAGAGAGTCGATTCAAACCACAAAAGAGAGCCAGGTGCTGCCTCCCACACGTGGCGGGCTCTGACTTCAGAGTCTGAGTGGAGAGTGGACGATCCCTTCACTGTTTAATTTTACCTCAGGATGTTCCTGTGTTCTTGTCTTGTCTGCTCATGCATGAGGTGATCTGCACTGGGATTGGTTGAAGCAAGTGTGAAGGGGGCGTCCCCCTTTCTTCCCGCCTTTTTTCTTCTCTGTCTTCTGCCTGCTGTTTAATTTTACCTCAGGATGTTCCTGTGTTCCTGACTGTCTTGTCTGCTCAAGCATGAGGCGATCTGCGCTGGGATTGGTTGAACTCCCTTCAAGGGGGAGTTGGTCATGTGCGGCAGCAGCCCCAAAAGCTAACAGGATCCTCGGTTGTCTAAACCGAGGCACGGAATCAAAATCAGGTGAAGTTATTCGTACCGCTTTGTAAAGCCTTAGTAAGGCCACCCCCTGGAAGGCTGCATCCAGTTTTGCTCACCGCGTCGCAAAAAAAGAAGTTGAGGCTTTGGAGAAAGAGCAGAGAAGAGCAACTAACTTGATTAAGAGTGTGGACTCTAAAACATAGGAAGAACGGTTGCAGGAATTGGGTCTGACCAGTCTGGAGAAAAGGAGGACTCAGGGCGGGGGAGGGGGGAGGAAGGTCAGTGGCTACTTTAAGACTTGTGGACTTTAAATCCCAGAATTCCCCAGTCAGCATATCTGGACTTTATATTATCAGCAGTATAAACTCCATATTTGATGAGAGAACGTGATATGTTCCCTGCATACCCACCATCTACTAACAAAGTTTCCCTATCAAAAATTGAGATGTATTATGCTCCCTGCATACCCACCATCCACTAATAAAATTTCCTATTAAAATGTGATTCATGTCCACTGCATACCCACCATCTATTAAAGTTTCCCTATTAAAAAATGGGATATATTATGCTTCCTGCATACCCACCATCTACTAATAAAGTTTCCCTATCACAAATTGAGATATATTATGCTCCCTGCATACCCACCATCCACTAATAAAGTTTCCCTATCAAAAAATGGGATATATTATGCTCCCTGCATACCCACCATCCACTAATAAAGTTTCCCTATCAAAAAATGGGATATATTATGTTCACTGCAATACCCACCATCTACTAATAAAGTTTCCCTATCAAAAATTGTGATATATTATGCTCCCTGCATACCCACCATCCACTAATAAAATTTCCTATTAAAATGTGATGTATGTCCACTGCAGGCCCACCATCTAATAAAGTTTCCCTATTAAAAATGTGATATATTATGTTCACTGCAATACCCACCATCTACTAATAAAGTTTCCTATTAAAAATGTGATATATTATGTTCACTGCAATACCCACCATCTACTAATAAAGTTTCCCTATCAAAAATTGTGATATATTATGCTCCCTGCATACCCACCATCCACTCATAAAGTTTCCTATGAAAAATGTGATATATGTCCATTCCGGGACCCTCTGCATCACCCCGTAAAGGGGGGCACTTCAACCTCCCCCCTCCTCCTCCCTCCCCCCCACCCCACCGCAAGGCAAGGGCACTCCACGGGACGCAACCAAGAAGCAAGGGTGGGGGGGCTGGGATTAAGGTTAGGGTCCCGCCCGAGTCAGTTACTCCCTCTCATTTTCCGATTCTGTAAGGATCTCCTGCCTGAGCAGAGGGTTAGACTGGATGACCTCCAATGTCCCCTCCACCTCTGTCATTCGATGATTCTGGAAGGGTCTCCTGCTCGAGCAGGGGGTTGGACTAGATGACCTCCGAGGCCCCTTCTATAACTCTGTCATTCTATGATTCTGGGTCTCCTGCTCAAGCAGGGGGTTGGACTAGATGACCTCCAAGGCCCCTTCTATAACTCTATCATTCTATGATTCTGAAAGGGTCTCCTGCCCGAGCAGGGGGTTGGACTAGATGATCTCTGAGATCCCCTCCAACTCTGTGATTCTATGATTCTGGAAGGGTCTCCTGCTTGAGGAGGGAGTTGGACTAGATGACCTCTGAGATCCCCTCAAATTCTGTCATTCTAGGATTCTAGAAGGGTCTCCTGCTTGAGCAGGGGGTTGGACTAGGTGACCTCCGAGGCCCCTTCTATAACTCTGTCATTCTATGATTCTGGGTCTCCTACTTGAGCAGGGGGTTGGACTAGATGCCCTCTGAGGTCCCTTCCAACTCTGTCCTCCTGTGATTCTGTAAGGGTTTCCTGCTTGAGCAGGGGGTTGGAGTAGATGACCTCCAAGGTCCCTTCAATAACATTCTATGATTCTGTAAGGGTCTCCTGCTTGAGCAGGGGGTTGAACTAGATGACCTCCGAGGCCCCTTCTATAACTCTGTCATTCTATGATTCTGAAAGAGTCTCCTGCTTGAGCAGGGGGTTGGACTAGATGACCTCCGAGGTCCCCTTCAACTCTATCATTCTATGATTCTCTACGGGTCCCCTACTCGAGCAGGGGGTTGGAGTAGATGACCTTCGAGGTCCCTTCAATAACATTTTATGATTCTGTAAGGGTCTCCTGCTTGAGCAGGGGGTTGGACTAGATGACCACCGAGGCCCCTTCTCTAACTCTGTCATTCTACGATTCTGGAAGGGTCGCCTGCTCGAGCAGGGGGCTGGACTAGATGCCCTCCGAGGTCCCGCCCGAGTCCGTTATTTCCCCTCTATTCCCTCCCGATCGCTGGGAATCGCGATCAGGGGGAGCCAAGGCTTGATTTGACGGAGAGAAGAACGGAAAGGCTGATGCACAGAGAGGGGGAGGCAGAGACACCCCCCCTTATCTCTGGGGTGGGGGCTATGGGGGTCTTGGGACTCCTGGGAAGAGCCTGGCTGGGCTGGGGAAGGAATTGGGGAGTGGGGGGGCTGCTGAGCCTTGCAGGATCCATCCCAGATGGGAAAGATATCCCTACGGTCGGTCAGTCGAGGCCGGGCAGGGATTGCAACGGCCACAAAGAAACCCCCCCCCAAAAAAGAGGGGGGGCATTTGAGGTCAGCCAAGGAAGGCCAGCTGCGAAGTCGCCCCCCAGCCGGGACTTTCCAAGGAAAAAAGCTGATTTTTTTCCTGCCAAGGAAAACAGATGTTTCTTGGGCTGGGTCGATTTGAGGCCTCCGGCCGGAGGAGGCTTCCCGGGATGGCGTAATTTGGGAGGAGAGGGGAAATTCTGGCCTTTGTTCCCGCAAGGTCTGGGAAGGATGGGTGCTTTTCAGGGCCACGGACACACACACACACAAACACACCGTTTCCCCGGCCAGCTTGACCAACGGCCAAAGGAATCGGTCGGGATGTTAAGATGGAGGTCTTTCAATGCTTCTTTTCCAAGACTGGTTTTCACAGTTTCAACGGTGTTTCCTTTCTCATCGGAATGGTTTTTTTTTTCTTCTGCAGATGCCCAGAGGCTCTTGGGCTGAGATGGGCAGTCAGAGGACTGGAGGGAGGGAGGGAGGGAGGAAGGAAGGAAGGAAGGAAGGAAGAGGGAAAGAGAGGAGAAAGAAAGAAAGAAAGAAAGAAAGAAAGAAAGAAAGAAAGAAAGAAAGAAAGAAAGAAAGAAAGAAAGAAAGAAAGGCTCTTGGGCTGAGATGGGCAGTCC